AGTTGTTCACAGTTGAAGAAGAAGACTTGAAGTTATAAGCATAAAAAATAATAATAATAACAACAAGCGACAAAAACCAAAGCAGAGCACAAACCAGCTGGATGTGGCAAGGAACGAATGAGGTGTACGCCGCCCAAGCAACACAACACTTGTATATTGACCAGACAAACGAGCGCGTGCATGTGTGTGTATGTTGTGTTTGTTTTTATTTGTTGCTGTTGTTGTCTTTGGAGCAATAATGTTGTATAAGCTAGCTACAATGTGGCGTATGTTGTTGATGAGGACGACGACGGCGACAACCAGCACAACGACAACGAGGCTGGAACGGACGCAACGGCAGCAGCATCTGTCGCAACTGAAGTGTTGCTGGCACGCCTGCGCGCTCCACTGCGCGCCAATTCAATTCAATTCAATCCAATCGCGGAAGGTATAAATTACTTATTCCACTTATTTATGTGTTAACAACTCGTATTATCCTCTCGACTGCAATAATATTTATGCATATACATACATATGTATTTGTTTTTGTAGACATATGTACTAGAGGTTTACGCCGCAGCCGCCGTTTTTTGTCATTCCTCTGGCGCCGCCGCTGAGCCACGAAAATATCGGCACGGCGGCGGCGGCGTTCGGCGCGTAAGGAATTTTGTACACAATTTTCATGATGCATGCACATTGAAATATGTACATCGGTTGAAGGAACTACTACTCGTATAAATAACGCTATTTTACGAAATGAAAATTGCATTTTTAAAGGAGGTTTTTTTTTACCAGATTTGGACCAATGAATGGGAATATCATCTCCTTTATTTTTCCAAATTAAATCGTAACTTAGAAAAAACAAAGGAAACAAGTTTTTTGATCGAACCCGTTTATTACAGTTAAATTACGTTTGAGCACTGGTAATCTGACGATTTTTCTTCAGTTGTAAATTTTTTCGATACCACAACAATACTACTTTCTTATATACTACAGCAACAAGAAGTTTTTACCGAAGCGCCATTATTACATCTAAATCCTCAATTAATAGAGCTATTTAAAACAAAAACAAGTTGGTTTTCTTGTGGTTTTTTCTCTAATAAAGAGTTGAATATTTTTTAAACGGATTTTTAATAAAAAGTAAAACTTTTGTTTTACTAATTTTTACGTTCGTAAGTTACTTTATTCTGGGCTCCCACAGATATATATTAGTATTGAAAATAGTGTGAAAATTACGTTAGCATTGATAAATGTTGGTCAAACCCCAGGAAGGTTTAGCTCCATCTCATTGCAATTTTTTCTACACAGGCAATCGTGTTCCTCCTTTTTGGTCAAAATTAATATAATTTTTCATTACTTTCGGTAATGAAATGAAGAAAAATTAAGTGCTTAATGTTTAAACAGTGTGTCAAAAAGGCCCATTCTGGTGGGAGTTTATGGGTAAAACTGTTGGAAAAAAGTAGACCACCCTTATTTTCAATCTACAACCCGCAAAAATCGTAAGGACTCCGTAATTTAACATAACGGTAAATAAGATTGTTATGAAAATGTATTAATAGCGACATAAATTACTCCAATTACTTAAATTTTAATTTTTAAAGAATATAGAGAATCTTGTAAGTATGTATATACCACAGACCTTATTCTGTTCGCCCATACATCAGCGCCAGGCATTTAACATTTTAATTCAAGTAGGAAGTAAAAATATTTAAATTTAAAACTATGTAATTCAAGAATGAATTAAATAGAATTATAATCTGAATTGACATGGCGAATGCCTAACGCTAACGAGATGACATGATAAGATTAGTAGTGTGGACAGTAGGGCCGCCGCCGCCGATTCTTTTTAAAATTGACCACGCCGCCGTCGCAAAGCCTGTCGGCGTAAACCTCTAATATGTACACAAGTATGACATGAACAGAATTAGTACATATGTGGATAGGTTAGGTTCAGTATTACCGCTGACATTGCACAATAAGGTCAAATTATCGCATTTCTGTGCGAAATTAAAATCGTGTCAGAATCATACTATTTGAGTCAAAAATCTTAAGAACAGCCCAAAGGAGACTAACGCTCGTAAATTAACCCTTTGAGCTCCTACAGTGCAATCGTACATATATTTACTGAACGGCTTAAGAGTGTGTCAGACGTGGGAATATTTCCAGTCGTTGTCAAATTGAGAAAGAGAAATTTTATTTCGATGTCTGTACAGCTAGAAAGACCTTTCGGTCACATTTCGGAAATCACTTTTGGAAATAAAAGTTGCAAGACGTAATTGCAATTGAGAGAGCGCAAATCGATTTCGGAAATATATTTCAGCTTGCTCGGGCTGCTCTAACAATCAGCAATAAAAAAATTTAAAAAAAAAACTTAAAAAGAAAAAAAAATACCTTTTTTTATAGAACAAAAAAATTAAAAAAAAAAATTATTGACCAATTTTTAAAAGTTTGGTATCGCTGCAAAGGCGATTAAACCCTCTTTCTCATGGTATGCATATTTGTAAAATTCATACAAAAAAAAATTTGAGAAAAAACACTTAAAAGCAAAAAAAATTATTAAAAACATTTTTTCCCTCTATATATGTAAACTCCTGCCCCCTAGGTGAAAGACTGGCTACGCCCTTGTATACAAAACAATTAAATTATTTAAACCGTACATTATACCGTCAGTTTGTTCTTTTAGAGCGCATACATGGTTCCATAATAATGATTCTAGTATCTTAATTTATGTATAAATATTGAAACTATCAATATCTTATTGGGAGAAGTGTAAATTTTTTTTATCTAAAACTAATAAAGTTGAAAGGACGAAATTCGATCATGTGGTAGTTAACATATTAGTCCTTGACATATATTTTGTTTTTAAATAAATATTGGAAATTTCCAAGGATATTCAAGGATACAATTTTAAAAGGACATTTTTGATTAAATTTTTTTTTCTATTCCACAGAATTTTTCCTTTTTATTGATACCCATTTTGTTATTCTACAATGCACCGAATATTTTGAATAAGTTTTTTATTGAATCATATTCTAGAAACTAAAAACGCAGTTTTACTATATTTGGCCCCCAGTTTTGTAAATATATTGAGTTTTTCGTGTGTAAAATTGACCGTTGCACGGTGTATTAAAGCCGCAAACTTAGAGAAATGATATTCAAGCTAGAATTCTTTTTCAAATCTACAATAAATTAACTTATGGCATATAAAAAATAATAAAATAAACGGTCAAATTTTCATTAAGGGCCGGATTGACAGTGTTTAGTTAAACGAGTGTTAACCTAACCACCAACACGAGTTTAACTATGAATTTATATACAGAGTTACATAGGTAGCTATGGAGATTCATATTGCCTGAAAATATACAAATTCTAAAAATCAAGACTTTTATATTCAAATTTGAAATTCGATCAAAAAAAAATTTAATTTCACAAGAGTTCAACTATGGGCCATGCGGTTTAAACTTTTGTTAACTGAGCATTGTGAATATGAAAATCAAAAGTTAAACTTTTATCAGTGGTTAACTATGCACTATGAATTTAGTCCTAAAGGCCAGAGTCTCAATGCCTGGTTAACACTAACTTCAGGTTAAACATCATTATCGACGTGATCGACTCAATAACATATAGCAGGGAGTCTATAACGTCGCTAACGATGTTTAACCTGTAGTTAGTGTTAACCAGACATTAAGAAACTGGCACTAAGTGGTGTTATTTACCCATACTCATAGCCCAACCGCCGTATATGATGTTTGCATTGTTGCGAAGCTTTTGCTCTGGTATGCAACACCGTTTTGCTCTTAGTTGCTCTTAGCAC